TGTCTCCATGTACCTGTGTCTCTATGTACCTGTGTCTCCATGTACCTGTGTCTCTATGTACCTGTGTCTCTATGTACCTGTGTCTCTGTGTTGTGTCTGATCTGTGCGAGACGATTAAACCTGCCATTCTACATTCAGACTTAAAACAAGATTCTCCAATGGGACAAAACCATTTAGTCTTACTTATAAAACTGTTTAATTCTGTATATCATTAAAACAAGATAATTCTGTTTGTCCCAAAGGTGGATCTAGTTTAAGTCTCAGTCACAATGTGTCAGAATGTTTACGCTGCATCACTTTCTGCAGCGTAAACAAACTCTGAATTACATCAGTGTGAACAGGATCAAGTTGAGCTTTAGTAACTTTAGAGTTTTAGTAGATCCAGAATTGTGACTTAAGCCTGTTTCTGTGGGTTTCCCGTGTTCCCGTCCTGCTCCTACGTCTCTGTGAAACGCGCCACGTAAATACATTGGATCAGGACTTACACTCACTCCTCTGTGCGGCTCCGGGCAATGGCGGCTCGGCACGGCTCGACACGGCTCGGCACGGCTCGACACGGCTCGGCACGGCTCGGCACGGCTCGACACGGCTCGACACGGCTCGGCACGGCTCGACACGGCTCGGCACGGCTCGGCACGGCTCGACACGGCTCGACGCGGCTCGGCACGGCTCGACACGGCTCGACGCGGCTCGACGCGGCTCGGCACGGCTCGGCACGGCTCGGCTCGGCACGGCTTATTGTGCGACGGATGTTAGTGCATCAAAAGCGTCAGATCCGTGTTTGTCGATGCCACGGGCGACGTTTTTGTCCGAGCGGAGAAAGAACCAAAGTCTGATGTGAGGTCAGACACACAGGCCCCGGGAGGCTACAGACAGATGCTACCCCCCCCATACATACACACACACAGACACACACACACACACACGCACGCACGCACGCACGCACGCACGCACGCACGCACGCACGCACGCACCCACGCACACACACACACACACACACACACACACACACACACACACACACACACACACACACACACACACACACACACACACACACACACACACACACACACACAGACACACGCACGCACACACACACAGACACACACACACACAGACACACACACACACACACGCACGCACGCACACACACAGACACACACACAACACACACACACACACACACACACACACACACACACACATCTTTTACGGAACAATCAGCAAAGTCAGATGTTTTGTCGGTGAATCTCTCAAGCGTCCGGGAGCGATCCACGGAGAAAGAATCATTATTTGAACAGAACATGTCCTCGGAGCATGTTCTACTGTTGGGCCGCGACACAAACACGATCATGTGAACGACAGAGTTATTCCTCCTCGTTTATGTGAGTGGTTTGGGACGTTTTTGACCTTTTTTAGAAGTGAGTCAGTGACTGTTCTTCGTCTTCAGTGTGAAGCAGAAAAGCATCTACTGCTCTGTGGTCACTTTCAGTCTGTACAACGAACCAAAACACTATTCATTATGAGATATTCACACAAAGACTTTAAACGTTTTTGTTAATTCTGCTGGATTGAACTTTTTTAAAACTTTTTTTCCTCTTAAATCCTTCAGTTTTCTTTAAAGCCACACTTAAGTGAAACCAACTCTGCTCGATCGTCTCCCGCTCTGACTCCGCTCTGATCAGCAGCTCTGATTGGTCAGAACGCTGCCCTCTGATTGGTTAGAGAGCCACACACGCGTATTTTCCGCAAAGCATCATGGGAGCTCGTCCACTGCACAGAACCGGGAGGACCAGACGATGCCCAAATATGTAAGAGTTCCACAAATCTCTCGGCCCCTGTGTCTGTCCATGAACTACTGAGCACGAGCCATTGATTTGAATAGGACGCCATCTTGGATCGCCGGGGCTTGGGCAGAACACACTGGATCAAAGCCCCAATCAACACCCTCCATTACTCAACTCAGAAAGGCCCTGTTTGATGAGAAGCGAGAGTCCTTTCCAATCAGCCACCACATTAAGGAGACTAAAGACAGAGTCCTTCAGTTGCAGCGAAACAGAACAGTTTTAACCAGGTTTTGAACACAGTCAGAGCAGAATCCCGTCTCTCACAGAAGCAGATGTTTCAGAACAGACCGAGTTTTCAGTTTTCAGACACCCACAAATGAAGCGGTGAATCGTTGCAAGTGAAGGCTGAGGCTCCGAAGGCTCGCGCTGGGAGCCTCGGAGCATATTCAGGATTACAGACGCCCGAGAGCAGAATATCTGATCTAGTGTTAAGTCTCCACAGTACGGTCAGACAAGAGAATTACTGTACACTGTGAAGCTGTAGCCAATGAAGGGAATGCTAAAGGTTCTCTCAGGTCTGCAGGGAATTTGGAGGAAATGCAATGTATTCGGAAAGAAAAGCTTTAGTTCTACAGAAGTTCAATTCAATTCGTTGTTGTACGGCTGTGAATCACAACAGTAGTTCTCTCTGGGGACTTTACAAAACCGTAGATTCGCCAACACGGTGATTTCAATGGTTTTGTTAAGTCTCTGAGATGATGCTGTTGTGATTTAGGGCTAAACAAGAATAAGTCGTTGTTGTTGTTGTTGTACCGGGCCACACTTGGCTCCCAGGCCTTAGTTTGGACACTTAGTTTGGAAGAAGCACCGACTATGACCATCTGGACTAAGTGTGTCACTAGTTTTCACCTTAAAGAATGTTTTTGGAGCCTTTGCATAACCTCAAAGCTGCCAGAAGACGCCGCGCTACATCTGAAAATCTGCTGCTCTGAATCTTAACGAGACCCGGAGTTGATTAAAAAAAGCAAAAGTGCCAATCTACAGAGCATCCCCTGATGAAGAGAGTGTTTTTGGAGCCTGTCGATACCGTGCGTGGATGAAATGAGGCGTCTGGCTGCGCTGCTGTCGGACTGAATTAGAATCAGCCGCAGACGCAAGGACAGAGATGGACTGGACTAATTAAAGGTGATGGGAGACACAGGACCCTCTGGGCGGACCCTCTGGGCGGACCCTCAGACTTCTGACAGACACGCTCCGTGTAGAGAGTGGCTGCCTTTTGTTATGTCCTTGGTTTATTCAAGGGCGGCACGGTGGCTGAGTGGATAGCACTCTCGCCTCTCAGCAAGAAGGTCCTGGGTTCGAATCCCGGTCGGACCAGGGCCTTTCTGAGTGGAGTTTGCATGTTCTCCCCGTGTCTGCGTAGGTTTCCTCCGGGTACTCCGGTTTCCCCTACCACTAAAAATATGTCCAATAGTTCTGGCATGTGCCTCCTGTACTGGCCCCGCTCCCATCTCTGTGTGGAGTGAGAGACAAGTGCCCAAAAAATAACAATTGTAAACCGCTTTGAGACTCAGATCTGCAGTGAAAAGGCGGTATATAAATAAAAACTTACTTACTTATTCAAAAGATTGTTGAAAATGTTGCTAATTACAACGTTTTAATTAGTCAGAGGCATCGGGTTCTGTCGTTTCAGGGTCATTTTTCTTGTTAGAACAAACCTTTTACAATTCTGAGCCATGTCCATATGAATCTAACACGATCTGAGCCAAGTCCGGTTTGTTTTGGCTTTAAAGCAGGTCTACTTGTCTATGACTTCACTTTGTTTTTGTATGGCCTTAAATCACAACAGCAGTCAAGTTAAGTAGTACTTTATAGTCCCGCGAAGGGAAGTTTGTCCTCTGCATTTGCCTCTCGTCGTCTGTGAGACTCTGAGAAATGGGTGATTCGCCACAGTCCATAAAAGTCCTTAAAAGCCCCGGATCATCTCTGTTCTTAGATCCTTCTACATCGTCCAGGAACATGAGGAAAACCCAGTTAGACACAGTGACAAACCGGAGAGGCCCATAATGAGATCTGCTCACACACACAGGGCATAGATACAGGACTCAGACTGTACAACGAGTACAGAGGCTGGGACTCTGAGGAGCACAGGGACTGGCCACCTGCTTGGACTCTCTGGGACTCTGAGGAGCACAGGGACTGACCTCCTGCTGGGACTCTGAGGAGCACAGGGACTGGCCTCCTGCTGGGACTCTGAGGAGCACAGGGACTGGCCTCCTGCTGGGACTCTGAGGAGCACAGGGACTGGCCTCCTGCTGGGTCTCTGAGGAGCACAGGGACTGGCCTCCTGCTGGGACTCTGAGGAGCACAGGGACTGGCCTCCTGCTGGGACTCTGAGGAGCACAGGGACTGGCCTCCTGCTGGGACTCTGAGGAGCACAGGGACTGGCCTCCTGCTGGGACTCTGAGGAGCACAGGGACTGGCCTCCTGCTGGGACTCTGAGGAGCACAGGGACTGACCTCCTGCTGATTCTCTTTTTTACCTCTGTCCCAACAGAAAGACCACAACAGAAAACAGGGTTGTATTTAGCATGAGAAAGCCGTGGGGGGTTTGCACAGGTGTCCTCCAAGTGCTCCGGTTTGCCCTACCTCTAAAAACATATACAATAGATAAAAATCCTGACCAAGCCGAGCATCAACATCTGTTACTATGGCAACCACTTCTTCTGACGGCATCAGGATCACCTCTAATACAGCACCTTTAACCAGAAGTCTGACTTGAGTGGTCCAGAAAGGGAAGAGACCAATGTCCGATTTGTTTTGATAAAGTCATAAATGTTGGATATCGAGAGTCCTGGATCCTCTCTGTCCTGACTCCTGCGAGAAACAAAACCAAACCCAGGGAAAAGTGAGAACCCCTGGGGAGGCTTCCGTTCCTCTCTGTCCCTATAATCTCCTCCTCTTCCTCATGAATCTGATCCTGATGAAAACACAGAGGATTGGTTTATTTTAGCTCCGTTTTCTTCTGTTCATAAGAATAAAGTGGTGTTGTCTCACGCTAACAGCAGCCACGCTAACAGCAGCCACGCTAACAGCAGCCACGGTAGCCTCATTGTGTCACTTCGCTCTCTCCTCATTTGTCGTTTTCGCCCTTTCCTCAGTAACAACGCTTCACACGTAGAGGATCCAGGTTGTTTCTCTGAGGTAAGCTTCAGGGCTGAGAGGCAGATGTGAAATCCCGCTCCGGCTCACGCTCGTTACAGTCGGCCCGCGTCTGTTTGGATTGTGCGTCTCCCAGATCTACGCCCAGAGTGTGAAATGTGTTTACACCGATGCTAACGTTGTGGAGAGCGTGGAGCGCAGGGAGGTTGGGTCGAGGCCCGAGAGAAGCTAAAACAGACGTGATGTAAAAGGTTCATGTGTCAGAGCGGATGTTATCTCCGCCGTTCAAACTAATGTGACATCACTTTAGCCGTCTGTGGCTTTTCAAAATGGCCGCAGGGGGTTAGAAAATGTGAACAAACACATTTGCACATGTGTTAGCTCCATTAGCCCCATTCCTTTAACGAGTGCATTCTAAAGTCCACAGCAACAAAACTAGACTGGTCCAAAAACACGTACTCCCCTCAGACAGCATCTGGAACCAAGAGGACCAAGAACCACTTTTGGACCAAGAACCACTTTTGGACCATCCTGTAAAGAGGTTTGAGAAGTAAGAAGATGCTACACATTAGCATTGGTTAAGTCGTATTCTGGGTCCACCCCCTCAGGCCTGGGGTGGTACTGCAGCGTGTCATTTTGGACATTCATTTGTGGGGAGTAGAGCCACAACTTCTTTGCTTCAATGACATTTACTAAACATTCCTCTTGCTCCGGCTTCAGTTTCTTGATATTTGGATTGAACCAGAACAGATTATTTTGCTGTCACATTCTCCGACAAACTACAACCAGAAAATTCAGCACAAACTCTGGATGTCAGAAAGAACTCAGCCACCGCGCCGTCCTGTATCTGATAAAATACTGTATATTTTGGTGCAAACATAGTCATATGTAGTTGACATATTTACATGTTCTCAGACAGCGACACGTGTGGTTCATATGTTTCATATTTAAATGTGGTAAAAGTGGGACACAGTGATGTGTGATTGACAGGTACCTCTGAGAAAGTTGTTTTTCTCTGAATACAGCCGTCAACGTCTGCAAACGCTCCTGTCGCTGCAGTTCAGCAGCGTGGTTTTTTTTATTGGTTTTGTTAATGTTACGACTGAAGAAGGTCTTGTTGAGCTCATTCTAAAACTGTTTTGTTTTTCTGAGGCATCTTCCTTCGTCTGTCGACAGAAGAGATCAAATCTATCATAGGTCCAGTTAAAAAGGTAAAGGTACACTTTATTGATCCCCGTCGGGCAATTCATCCTCTGCCTTTGACCCTGATGCCCTATGGCTGACGTCAGGAGCAGTGGTCGCCGTAGTAACAGCTTACGGGAACCATCTCCAGATGTTGATGCTCTGGGTCAGGACCAGAGCTGGAGGATTTTACCTAGTGAGCAGGTTTTTAGTGGTAGGAAACTGGAGCACCCGGAGGAAACCTATGCAGGCACAGGGAGAACATGCAAACTCCACTCAGAAAGAAATTCGAATCCAGGACCTTCTTGCTGAGAGGCAATAGTGCTAACCACTCAGCCACCGAGCCGTTATGTGGATAGAAGAAGGTCCTGGGTTTGAATTCCAGTCAAAACAGGGTCTTTCTGAGTGGAGTTTGCATGTTCTCCCCGTGTCTGTGTAGGTTTCCTCCAAATGCTCCGGTTTCCCCTTCCACTAAAACCATGTTCATAGTCTGAATGTAATGAGTGATGGTGTTTGTTTGGAGGCTTTGATGGACCAGTGTGCTCTGGTCTCTCTTCCGTCTTCACCGTGTGTGAACGGGACAATATCTGAACTCTGAACTTTATAAAGCGCTTTGGGTCTGTACATGGGTCTGTAAAAACGTGCCATACGAATAAATATTACTACTTACTTACTAGTACAATCTTGAGTTTCCGTCTGTATGAACTGTGCTATACCAATAACCTTCACATGTGTCTGCTGCCCCTCCCCCGCCCGCTCAGCCACAGACACACACTGATCTAGTCTAACGCTGAGAGTAGGAGAGGCAGCTACAGAGCCTGACGCAGCTGGAGAGAGTGTTAACGCGGTGGGGGGCAGCGCAGGGAGTGCGGGGGCTGCCACGTCTGAGCGCCGCAGACACACACCTTTAACAAACAAACACAACTCTGCTTCAATCACACTTCTGTCAGAGACGTCTGGGTTCTTACAGTTACTCTCTCTCTGACTCTGTGCAGACCGTGGTTAAAAGTACATAGCACTTTATCAGACTAAGAAACCCTTTATTCATCTCACAGTGGGGAAATTTCAGTGTTGCATCACCAGTCTGTACATTAGCAGCAGTATGTTTACGTCTGTACATTAGCAGCAGTATGTTTACATCTGTACATTAGCATCAGTATGTTTACATCTGTACATTAGCATCAGTATGTTTACATCTGTACATTAGCATCATGAAGCTAATCCATTCCTCTTCTTCCCCTTATTCTATTTCTGGGTCTTCTGCATTTGACCCAGACCCGGATGCCGTGGTTGCCGTAGTAACAACGCCCGGGGACCCATCTCCAGGTGTTGATGGGAGGATTTTATCTATTGTACATGTTTTTTGTGGTAGAGGAAACCGGAGCACCTGGAGGAAACCTACGCACTGCACGGGGAGAACATGCAAACTTCACTCCACAGAAAGATCCTGTTCAGACCGGGATTCGAACCCAGGACCTTCTTGCGAAGCGAGAGTGCTAACCACTCAGCCACAGAGTCCCTCTTTTTTTTTATTACCAAAGTATTTTTCAATGTTATTGCTGAAGTACGAACAGCTCTGTAGATTCTGCCCAGTGTGACATGTAATCAGAGTCTCCCAACGACCGCCTGCGGTCAACTGCCTCGCTCCTCGCCGCTCGCTCCTCGCCGCTCGCTCCTCGCCGCTCGCTCCCCGCCGCTCGCTCCTCGCCGCTCGCCGCTCGCACCTCGCCGCTCGCCGCTCGCCGCTCGCTCCTCGCCGCTCGCCGCTCGCCGCTCGCCGTTCCCCTGACCACGTCCCTTGGAGCTTGTCATCTCCGGTCACTTTAAGGCCTGTTTCACACCGCACGCCGAGCGCAGAGCCGAGCGCAGAGCCGAGCGCCCTTTCCAGCCGAACTACCTCGCGGCGAGCGCATGTATTCAGACTGACGCCGAGCGTGGGCGAAGCGCCTAGACGAGTAGCACGCACAAAAGGAGTAGTAATGTACTCCAAACTAATAAACATGTTGTATATTTACATATGTTGAAATAACAGGTCAGAAATCAAAATAGCACATGTAGACCTTAAATAAATTGCTAACATTTCCTTATAATGTATCTTATAGCCTATTTTGATTGTCGTTTCATTATCATAGTTAATTATAAGGTGTGAGGAAGGCCTGGACCTCCAGGGGGGCTATGTGCAGGCGTGGGGGGCGGCCTGGATCTCCATGGGGGTTAAGGTTAGGTGTGGGGAAGCCCTGGACCTCCAGGGGGGTTAAGGTTAGGTGTGGGGAAGGCCTGGATCTCCATGGGGGTTAAGGTTAGGCGTGGGGGGCGGCCTGGATCTCCATGGGGGTTAAGGTTAGGTTATAATTATAATATATATATATATATATTATATATATATATATTATTATATATATAATATATGTTACAATTATATTTTATGCATAAAAAAAAGTATGACATGGAAAATTGTGTAATTAAAAGAATAAACTTATATGTACTTATGCATTACAATAATGAGATTAGATAAACGTGAAATTGCTTTATAAAAGTTATTTTTTGAATATTTTCGTGCTGAAAGCCGCTTCGCTGCGCAGCCTACACACGGAAAAAATGCGCTCGAGTTCCATTTTTGGTTTCAGGAGCGGAGGCGGCAGCGGCGCGCACCGATTCCCTGCGCGCCGCCTCAGCGCCGGTCTGTACACAGAAGAGCTTTCTCATTTGCACAACAGGACGCGACTTGAAGCGCAGCTTGCGAATGCACGCGAGCGGGTTTCGAAGACGAATTCGTTCACGAATTTGTGTGCGGTGTGAAACAGGCCTAACGTAACGTCCGCCGCCATCTGCAGAGTTGACCTTCTCTTCCTGGAAACGGCCGTGGCCGGGTCCTTGTTCTGCTGCGGCGCTGGAGGCGAGTCCACAGGGAAATAAAAGAACTTAAAGGTGATGTCCGTAACTTCAGTGGCATTTCTAAAACACGTCTGTGGTTAAAAGCTCCGAGGAGACGGTGGAGCACTTTCACTTCTGAGTAGATTTGTTCATAAGAAGCAGAGACCAATGTCCATAAATGTTGATAAAAAACCTTGTCCGGCGGAATGAAGGCCAGTAGAGAAGTGCTCATGGACGAAGTTTTGCTCCATCTCGCTCTGGCTCCAATTGACCCACATGTACAAGTAAACTCTTAGCTCAGTCATGGTTTGTTTCACACTCACCAGTTTTGGATTAAGTGTTTCTAAATCCAAATATGTGCCTGACAGTTGACCAATCAGGAGGCGTCTTTCCCTGAACACATGCAGGGGATAGAACCAAACGGTTTATAGTTACATGGATATCTCACATGTAGTCAGTCTAAAGGTTGTTGTGTATAATGCAGACGTGTGTAACCTGAGCTGACAGAGGGTCGTGGCTCAGGCCAGAGGCGACAGAAACACATGTGTCTGATCCGGAGGTGATGTCGCACTCAAATGTCAGGCCCTGAACTGTCCATGGTCCTGAACTGTCCATGGTCCATGGTCCTGAACTGTCCATGGTCCATGGTCCTGAACTGTCCATGGCCCTCAACTGTCCATGGTCCTGAACTGTCCATGGTCCATGGTCCTGAACTGTCCATGGTCCATGGTCCTGAACTGTCCATGGCCCTCAACTGTCCATGGTCCTGAACTGTCCATGGTCCTGAACTGTCCATGGCCCTCAACTGTCCATGGTCCTGAACTGTCCATGGTCCTGAACTGTTCCCACGTCCTGCTCCTCATAACAACAGTAATAATGTTTTAGAGAGAGAGCTACATATTTATGTTTATGTTTGGCTTGAAGCTTAGATTATACATTAGAGATGGAGTGGACTCTGGTTCTGACAAACAAATAGTTTTGGTCTGAGTCACAGAAAGACAGAATAATTATGATGTCAATGTCATTTTATGTAATAATACGTTTTATTTGTGGGCGCCTTTCAATATTCCCACGGTCACCTTACAGGCAGCATAAAAACAGTATAAAACATACATTAAAAACACGATACAATACAAGGCACACGGGAGGAGCTCGGAGTAGAGCCGCTGCTTCTTCACGTTGAGAGGAACCAGTTGAGGTGGCTCGGGCATCTGTTCAGGATGCCTCTTGGACGCCTCCCTGGGGAGGTGTTCCGGGCACGTCCCACCGGGAGGAGGCCCCGGGGAAGACCCAGGACACACAGGAGGGACTATGTCTCTCAGCTGGCCTGGGAACGCCTTGGGGTCCCCCCGGACGAGCTGGAGGAAGTGTGTGTGGATAGGGAAGTCTGGGCGTCTCTGCTTAGACTGCTGCCCCCGCGACCCGGCAACGGATAAAGCGGAGGAAAACGGACGGACGGACGGACAATACAAGAAGTAAATACAGTGTGGAGTGGCAGAAGTTCTGTAGAAAGAAATTAGAAACACAGTGTGGAGGATTCTGTGGGATTGGCGCGTCTGAAAAGCTCAGTGTTGAGTCCAGATTTAACTGTGGTGATGGAGACTATTGCACGAGTGTCTGGGAGAGATGATTCCAGAGTCTGGGGCAGAGCGGCTGAAGGCCCTGGGGCCGAGGACATTTTAGCTGCAGGGACAGAGAGCAGAGAGGCAGAGGAGGAGCAGAGTGGGAGGGTGTGTCTGAAGGAGAACTGACAGGTGTGGAGGTGCCAGGTCATGAAGTGCTCTGAAGGTGAGGAGGAGAACTGACAGGTGTGGAGGTGCGAGGTTATGAAGTGCTCTGAAGGTGAGGAGGAGATCTGACAGGTGTGGAGGTGCGAGGTCATGAAGTGCTCTGAGGGTGAGGAGGAGAACTGACAGGTGTGGAGGTGCGAGGTTATGAAGTGCTCTGAAGGTGAGGAGGAGATCTGACAGGTGTGGAGGTGCGAGGTTATGAAGTGCTCTGAAGGTGAGGAGGAGAACTGACAGGTGTGGAGGTGCCAGGTTATGAAGTGCTCTGAAGGTGAGGAGGAGAACTGACAGGTGTGGAGGTGCGAGGTTATGAAGTGCTCTGAAGGTGAGGAGGAGATCTGACAGGTGTGGAGGTGCGAGGTCATGAAGTGCTCTGAGGGTGAGGAGGAGAACTGACAGGTGTGGAGGTGCGAGGTTATGAAGTGCTCTGAAGGTGAGGAGGAGAACTGACAGGTGTGGAGGTGCCAGGTCATGAAGTGCTCTGAAGGTGAGGAGGAGAACTGACAGGTGTGGAGGTGCGAGGTCATGAAGTGCTCTGAAGGTGAGGAGGAGATCTGACAGGTGTGGAGGTGCGAGGTTATGAAGTGCTCTGAAGGTGAGGAGGAGATCTGACAGGTGTGGAGGTGCCAGGTCATGAAGTGCTCTGAAGGTGAGGAGGAGATCTGACAGGTGTGGAGGTGCGAGGTTATGAAGTGCTCTGAAGGTGAGGAGGAGAACTTTGTATTCTGTGATGAGGGCAGGAGGAGCTTTGGTGCTGCTGTGTTCTGACCCATCTGAAGTTTCTGTGGATGTATTGTTCTAATAAACGCATACAGTACATATGTAGACTATTTTACATATGAACTGACAGTTTCTCTGCTCAGTTCTGGGCCTGGGCAGATGCTGTTGGGTCGTGTCCCGGTCACTTCCTGCTCAGACGACGCCAGTTGGTCTTTGGTTCAGTCTTAATCAGATTTGGACCCAGCTGCTCGAGTGTGAGACGTGGCAGCCCAGAACAAAAACACCACGCTGAGAGAAAACACGAGCTGTCACCAGCGCCACGCCATCTGCACCAACATGGCCGCCGCTGTCCGCTCCTCTCCACGCCACCCACCTCCCCACGCAGTCCTGGGTCTACAGCCGCAGTCCTGGATCTACAGCCGCAGTCCTGGATCTACAGCCGCAGTCCTGGGTCTACAGCCGCAGTCCTGGGTCTACAGCCTCAGTCCTGGGTCTACAGCCTCAGTCCTGGGTCTACAGCCGCAGTCCTGGGTCTACAGCCGCAGTCCTGGATCTACAGCTTCAGTCCTGGGTCTACAGCCGCAGTCCTGGGTCTACAACCTCAGTCCTGGGTCTATAGCCTCAGTCCTGGGTCTACAGCCTCAGTCCTGGGTCTATAGCCTCAGTCCTGGGTCTACAGCCTCAGTCCTGGGTCTGAGCACCTGCGCTCGGATCTGACTGGGAACTTCTAGAAAGATACTTTATTGATCCCTGTCGGAGAAATGCAGGAGTCCAGCAGCAGAAATAAAAAATTAAATAGATAATTCTAAAAGTATCTAATAATAGTAATAACAACAGTCCATCAGTCACAGCAGCAGAGCTGGAGCTTGGTACGGACCATGAATCCTCTCTGCTCTGGTCTGGACCAGTGTAAAACCATGAATCCTCTCTGCTCTGGTCTGGACCAGTGTAAAACCATGAACCCTCTCTGCTCTGGTCTGGACCAGTGTAAAACCATGAATCCTCTCTGCTCTGGTCTGGACCAGTGTAAAACCATGAATCCTCTCTGCTCTGGTTTGGACCAGTGTAAAACCATGAATCCTCTCTGCTCTGGTCAGGACCAGTGTAAAACCATGAACACTGAACTGCAGCAACATCTCAGGCAGAAAAAAGAAAGGAAAATAACAATAAAAACACAAAACAACAGTTTCAGAAACACGTTCAAAAGAAAACGTGTGATCGTCACGACACAGGAACTGGACCCATCTCCCTCTTTCTGCAGAGACTCAAATCAAACGGCCTTGAGTTCTGCCGAGTTCTGCCGAGTTCTGCCGGGTTCTGGCTGAGCGGCGCCGACTCAGCCCCGCGGCTCCGAGAGCGAGACACTCACGTCCTCCGCTCCGCTGATCCCCTTAAATGAGAAGTGTCCGTCGCTGAAGAGAGGCTTTTGTTCACAGTCTCTCCACGGCAGAACGTTTTATTTACACCAAAAGGACAAAACTTCAAGTGCATTTAACAGATTTTAGATTATTCATTTCAAACACACATTTTCACATCAACATCAAAGACAAATGTAGCCGGGTCAAATAATAATAGGACGAACGGCAGATACTGTCCCCGGTTTGGCCAGTAGAGGGTGCTGTTACAGCGCGTGTGGTTGGGAGGTGTCAGGTGCTGCACGTGAGACGTTACCCTGGCAACGCCTTGAGAGACGTTGGATGGTGCGCTGGCAAGTTGTGGCACCAAAAACGGTAAATAGAGATAACAAAAAAGGATTTAATGATAAAATTATCTTTTTGTATATCATCTGCATTATATCTGATGATTTCTGCTCTATATATCTGTAGATCTGGTGTTGGTAGAAGGCATACACATTTGCTATTCACCCGTTGTCCCATTGTCTGTTTCATGGTACGATGACGGGATCTCTGAGCCTGGCCTCTTCCATCTACACCTGCGGACTGCCCCGCCCGACCCGCCTGGGAGTGCTTCGGTCCTGCACCGGACCTGTCCACGTTCAGCGTCCACTGGTCCACGTTCTGTAGCTAGCTTAGGTCCTAGATCATTAGCTTGTCCGTCCGGAGGATCGGATCCCTTTCTCATATGGGTCTCCCTCCCTGTGGGTTTCCCTAGTTCTCCCCAAGGTTTCTCATTTTTTCCCACTGGGTTTTTTAAGAGTTTTTCCTTGTCGATGCAGGAGGGTCTTGTTGGACAGTTAGTGTCCAACAGAAAGGATTGGTGATGATCAGGACACTTTAGCATTCTACAACATGTATGGACATTTTCTTCTGTGTGTGCTTTATATTCTCCATGTGTTTTAACTGTTGATTCTCTGACCTGTGTTGGTGATTTCAATGGTTTTGTTAAGTCCTCTGAGATGACTTCTGTTGTGACCTAGGGCTATACAAGAATAAATTGTATTGTATTGTATTGTACATACGTAACACTGTCAGACCTGCGTGTATAAAGCCATTGGTCAACGTTTTGGCGTGAGTTGACAGATCACTATGTTAGTTACATGTTTAAGGTTTATTTTAAATGGTTATTCATGAAATGTACTCACTATTTGCTTTATGCAGAGGGGAGAAAGACCACTGTTATATTCTCAGTTGTTCTGGATTTGGTTTGAGCTGTGTTCCTACCAGACTGAAAGTGAGTGCAGATTGTTAATTGATATTTCCATTTCCATTCTATAAATGAACATTTTACATGTATTTATTTTGTTTATTATAGTGAGCCTACACCAGTTGTTTTGTAGTCCACTACTGTTGTCTTGTCTTGTCTTATTTTTGAGAATGAAGTGTTTATTTTAATTTTATGTGAACTGAGTAACGTTGTTAAATAGAAAGAAAAGAAAAAGCCAAAAATACCTGAATTAATGCTGTCTTTCTCTAGAGGCAGTCGGAAATTAAAGAACCACAAAATCTTTGGAGCTTGTCTTGGGTACATTATTTTCCTGATTCAAAATAGTACCAACCACTATCATCTGGTTACACAAATAACGAGTCCATGGTTCGTCAGGGTTTGGGTGAAGATCAGGCTCGTTTGATTCCAACCTCCTTCTGTCACCATCTGGTCCACTCCACGGTTCCCCCTTTCCTGGTCCTGCCTCTGCTCTACTCACCTGGATCTCATCAGGTCTCACTGCAGTACCATCAACTGCAGAACCATCAACAG